ATTTTTTATATGAGAGTGAGGAAGAACTTGGTTTGGATTTAATGATGATTCTCCTCGTGTACAGAACAAATGAGGAGTGAGGTGAAGAGCCGAAAAACACTTTCTACATAGCTATTTCGATATGGTTGCAGCGCGAAGCCATTGACCCAACAGTCGTTCGAACCTCACTGGTTGAACACAATCTATTATTGTACGCTTTGTCATGAAACAGGTAATGAATGATACTGGTTTCGGAAAGTTTGTATCCCGGACCATAATTCCAACGTGCACAAGCCATTTGTACGGTATACCGAAAATACTTACTCAAAAGTAGCATGAATTAGAAGTTATGGACTATTGAAAAGGGTGCGCTGCCTCCAGAATTATCAGAAAATTTATTTTCCTCATTCAGTTTCAACACCAAAAACAATGCAGTGATTATTCTTTTGACAGAGATCATCAAAGTCACTGTCAATAAGCAAACGGTACAGTATGGCTTATAACTTTGATATCAAAATCCTCCAATACACAGTCGTTGCGTATTGCTGTCGAGCATTTTACACACTTTGGTGCTTAATGTGAGATTTACTTCAGTCAGGTATCAAAATGTACATTTGCATTGGTATCATGTTTTCAACTTCAAAACATGAATTCCATGGTTTTCTGACACCTGATCCATTTATTGAGGTGCTTTATCCAGCTGAGAATATACTATTCCATGCTCCTTTGCTGTGATACATGACGAAAGGGAAATTCTACATGTGGCTACAGAGACCAGTTTATATGAATTACAGTCTCATTGTGCCCAATACCTTAGATCGGCTACGAAAACGTACCCTAGAACACAAGTAATCGTTTGTTATTATTTGGCTCTTTAAATACGGTTACTTTTTCAGGATATTATGCCATTATCTGCGTAACTTATTTGGTCTACAGAGGTTGAACTTTTCTCGTCGATAGATATCATTCTGTTTCATCAATAAGCCCAGAAAACGTATCTTTCTGTTCAGTTCGATGCTGATTCATAGAAACCACATACCTCGCCTTTTTCTAATTAATGAAACGGCACTTCCTGAAATGTTAACGATACATTTCCAGTTCAAATTTCTAGTCCAAGCCCAACGTTGACTGTGTTGGACACGCGTGTTCTTTTGAATGCGGATCTGACAGTTGGACTCTGGCGAAAAACTGAGGGTGTCCATGTGTAATGATCGTAGAAGTAGTAGTAGTGAAATTACGCACAGAATTCAGGACACGAACTACGCAATAGGAATCACGGAACACGAATTAGAAAACCGGTGGCACTGGACCGCAATGTCTTGAACTCGCAATACCCCGCAGGATCGAGACGCGAGGAAAAAGGCCACAAGACAGGCGAATCACAAAGTCGTTTATTGAAGGAAATGAAAGTGAATATATATGTACACAAGAAAAGATCATTGGCTACCTTAGTTTCCACCAATCATATTGCATCACATTTTGCGTCATACTGTTCTTCTCTGCATTGTATCTGATTGACTCGAACGGTCCACCAATGACGTGTATCCGGAGGCTGTGCACGTGCTACTGGCGTCAGCGCTCAAGGTCGATTGACTACCAATGTCCGGAAACTGTACCGCACTGCTCCAGGGCAGGCGTGATCTCGTAAATCACTACACCATGCTTCTTAACGTACTTGCGATAACTGGAAATCATTGGGTACGGACGATCGAACTATTTTGGTATTCCTGTCAACACAAAGATACACGTCATGAACCTGTTCGCTCAATGCTTGTTCATTTTCTAATTCGGAATGCCTTTGGTTATCAATGTTTAAAAAATTACCAATGGTAGATTGTTGAAATAAGGCGGCAAGCTACAGAGGATCAACGAACAGAAGCTAGCTTGAACGACCACCGACGTAAGGAAAATCATCTCCCGTACCGTCGTGAAACACCTCATAAATACACATCAAACATTGAATTTAGACGACTTTGAGGTTATTGATCGAGTGTTTCCCAATCCGTCAAAGGCTGTTCGTCAATGGCATTTCGCAACAGTTAAGGCACTAGCTAGCCCCCTGTTCAACTCATCCCTTCGTTGTATAAAACGACTTGTAGAAGCGCCTCAACGGTCACCGGACTGATGAAAATTCTGTACCATGATTGGGGATCATCATTTCCCTTACCCTGTTACCACAACCGTAAATGGTTAACCTCGAATCCACCCACACACAGTGAATTCCTATCCATCTATGATTACTTCTGAAACAGTTTGTGTTTAGCCAACTGTTAACTTAGGCTAAGTTTGGATGTTAAAACGTATTTAGCCTATGCAGATTGAAATTTGTGGTGAGTTCCTGAGTTTGATCCTTGAGTGGGATAGAAGAATGTGTACTAGTGGCGATATGAGAGTGCAACAACGCGATGATGTTCCCTTGGACTACAAGTTTGGAGGACCCACATTGCAAGACCCCGTTAGGGTAATTTCATATTTATGGGCATACTACTTATAGGTAGTCAAAATAACTTTACATAAATGGAAACAGTGTACGGTGAACACATGCGCAAAATCAATTAATAACTACGAACTTAGAACAAGGATATTTTTGATGGAAGAAGAGTTTCAGTTTCATCATGAACGGTTTTGTGGGAGAATCTGAGTAATAAAAAGTATTGTGGGATAAGATAATTTTATCAAGAGTCGTATAGGGCTTTTCTCCGTTTTTCAATATGGCTCCCGAACACTCACGCCTTTGTATGCACTCTTATCACAACATCAGAAAAATCCCTCGAAGGAGTTTGCATTCCCTTTTTAAATCTTACAAAACTTAACATAAATCCAACGCAAAAGACTTAGTACGAAGTATTTTCGTATTTGCATGAATGCTCCTTCGGTAAAAATCTTCCGTCTTACATGCATCACACACAAGCTGTTCCATCAATTTCATGAAAAATCTTATATCCGCCTATGGGAAGCTATAATACCAACCAAATAAGTAACATTTTGTGGTTGAGACACCTAAATTACTCGGCGTTTGGCGTTAGTCTTAGACCTCAATGACGGTAACCGTGGACTTTCGTACATGCACATTTGGTACAGATTTTTTATAGTTCTATCGGTTGCTGCTAAACTAATGTACGCTGCATTTGCTTATACTTCGTTTAATGCTAAAATTTCGGGTTTAAAAGACCACAAACGTTTATCGAAACAGGAATCTTATCTGATTCAGTAGGCTTGTTCCAATTATAAAAACACCTTTCCTGTTTGAATAAACCTATTGAGGAAATTACGCTACTGGGTGATCGTTGACCAACCACACTTCGCAATGAAGTCCATATTCTCAATTTCATTGATACTGGCAAATAAGAGCTCTATCACAAGAAGTTCAGCACTTCACTTTCAAAAATAATTATTACTAGTTTTCCAAATCCATGGTTATGTTCTTTGGACATGAATCGTAAGAAAACGCGTTAGCTGGCCACCACGTGGCGATTAGCCAGCACCTGGTACAGTGACTCGTTTTGACAGTTTTCCCACTAATGTTGCCCACTGGCACCGTTCTTAAGCCCATTTTCGAAATTGGGCTGCAATCGCAGATAATAATCTAGTATTCATGAGAAGAATTAAATAATAATATTAATATTAATAATAATAATATTATTATTATTGCCAATGAACTCTGGGAAAGAAAAATTAAGAATCATGTTTCAAATGTTTATTTTATTGTTAACATGGAAACGCTAACCAGAGCATGGGACTCGAAAATCCGATTCACAGACTAGTAAGGCATAGATCCAACGCCGGAGCGTGACCGAAGCACCCACGTGGAAGCTTCTAGGTACCCGTCATAGAAGTTCTTTGTGATCATTTTCAGTGTTTTTCTCTGGTGCATTGATTTACGGTCCGCTGTTCGGGATTGGCCCTTAGCTTCATGCATTCAATCAGATAGGTGGAAATGGAAAACATAACACTATTGGTTGGAGTTTTCCCAGCTTATGCGGGCGGTTGCTGTTCAAGGAAGTACGAGGAGTTCTTCCATCTTTCAGAGGGACTTTGTTCCTACGTTCCTCTGGGGGGGGGGGGGTCTTTTGACCAATAGAATGCTGGAGCGACCTCTACAAGGATGGAAGTGGGTGTTTATTGGAAGCCTGGATGTGCCCGATATCGCTTTTATCCGCAACAGAATTGCGCTGGAAATCATTCAACATCTCCTGACCGTGTAGGATTTCACTTCAACTTAGCAGAAAAGTGATGTTCAGTATGTTAACTACCATTATATATGTCCAAACGGCGAAACATTTATTTTAGGATATTTCCACCTTCCAAGTGCAAAAAACATCTCCGAATATAAGTCATACATTTTCCATGATTCCAGGTTGAAATTATTCATTTTAAATCGCAGTTTACAAAAGAAGATGAAACATCTTCATATTGTTTTCATCTTTCAAAAAATTCAGCTCTTACTCTATGGTTAAATTCTTCTGGGTTTCAAGATCCCTTTAGGAGTAATATTTTTTGCGTCCGGCAGGACGTTGTAGTGACTTCAGACCGACAGCGTAACTTGCTGGAGTTGTCACCATCCTTGGTCTGCCTCCCAGGTAGCACAGCGTAGCGTATCGGTGGATTACAAAGCGCTACTTATGAACTACATCAGCTAAATTTGTTATTCAACAGTAATTACCCTTCAAAACGCATTTACCATAACTCTTATAGGTTTAAATATTCATTTGATAATTAATTCCATCAAATAACTCCTATTTTCGTTATCATAATTTATGGATTAAGTGCGTTCTATACAGTGTGCAAGATGTGCTGAAGTCCATGGTGAGATAGTGAATCCATGTGAAAATAAATGGTTATTAGGACATCAGACGGGACAATTGTCCACCATAAGGCGGAAAACTAAAAACGAGATGTCCTACAATGTAGCTCATTGTAGCCGACGACGTGCTACCGCATGTATGTTTTCGCATGGTTGAAGGCACTGGTGGCTTGGAGCATTCGTTCGTGCATTCTTCTCCTTTCTAGCATGGGTTTTATCAGGATCGTCGATATCGCGGTGCCGCTTCTTCAGCTAGGTATTCCATCTCCGGTGGAGTAACTCCACTTTGAGCGGTGCGTGAGTTCAGTGCTACACCTTCGCTTGCTAAGCTGTTCATTTGCAGATGCTCTCGAGCGTAGTCAGGCATAAATTCCGGTGCTTTTAAGGGAACAATATATTTTCCTTTGACTAACTTGTTGTTGTTCCTGATGTCTACCGGGTTGTCGAGAATCACGGGTATTAGAGACCTTACCGCTTCCAAATGGCGGAAGATAGGATCCCCATCACTAAAATGGTGAACCCGTTCCATTTTTCTGGTTGCGAGTATACACTTTGGAGCANCAGTGGTTTGCTTATTCTTGGGTCGTTAGAGCAGCGGACACTATTAAATGTTTCATCTATTTTTTGTACATTTTTAATATATAAATCAATGTATTCTTTGATGATACATGAGATTGGATTTTTACGGGTACTTGAATCACAGTCTAGGAAGCAAGCGAATTAGGTTTATGAATCTACCAGGCGATGGATTGCCTGAACGCTTTGAAAAAAGTCTAAATAAGTAGTAAATGTATTTTGAATGCCATATAATTGCAATTTTTCCTACAAATCCTTAGTTTAATTGGTTTTATAATAGCTGATTGTTTGTATCCAATATAAATGGCGTGATCGGTTATCGCGCACTACATATAGCTATCCTATAAATAGCCATTACAAATGGCTGCCCCCGTTCCACTTTCGCTCTGCGCTGTCGCTCAAAATGGATTCCCTCTACGGATGACAGTCTGACGTTTCGGAGAGTGATGAAGATGACGTACAAAAATTTAAAGGCTTTCCAAGAGGATTTTCGTGACTATCAGATGGAGACAAGCAGTCAATTCTACATATACAATTCGCAAACACGAGATTCTTGGGCCAAATCCACTGGAAATCAACTACCTGAAGGAGTGCCATATTTCTTCGTCAAATATTGCTGCGGTCATCGGAAAAGGAAATATGGAGCACCCGGATACAGGTAACAGATAAATTTAACACATTTTAATAAATCTATTCTATCTGACAGGTACCGCAACTTCGATTGCAAAGCGCAAGTGACCATCCGGTATTGCCATGGGGTCTTCCGTCTCTCAAAGTGGTCCATGGTGCATAGTCATAGTTTTCAGACAGGTAATCCGTCGTTTTATGTTAATAATAGGCAACTTACACCTGAACAGGAGTTTCAGGTGTATGAATTAATGAGTAACTTTAAGGTAAATCGTGAATTACGGCGGTATGTCTTCAAAACATGTGGCCGCAAGATGAATGCATAAGATTTACGGTCTATTCGGCTTAGGTTGTCGCGTGGTGACAAAATATCAGACGCCTTTCGCGTTAGCACTATGCTTAAGAGGCAGGGTTTAAGTAAAATAGAAAAGGATGAGGATTTAGTTCGTTCGGTTTATTTCATTCCAAACAGCACTATGTCCCTAGGATTGCGTTTCACTGACTTCATCCTTGCAGATGCCACACACCAGATAACTGCAGTGGCTATGTTTTGTGGCATGTAATGTTAATAGACGAAACTGGTGTTGGTCGTAGTTTTTTCTATGTCATTCTTCCAAACGAGAGTGGCATAAGTTACGAGGCCGCCCTAGGTTATATGTTGGAAGTGTTTCCTAAAATGAGAAATGTTAAAACTGTGGTGGTAGATCGGTGTCTGGCTCAGTTCAATGCGTTCAAAAGCCGAATGCCCAAACCATCCGTGGTATTTTGTCGGTTTCATATCCTAAAAGATATGGAACAGAAATGTACACAATTACATGGTATAGGTAATGGGGATAAGTTGAGGTTGTTTCAGTGGATGCGTAACATGGTGTAAGCAGACACAGAAACTCGTTTTATTAGGTTTCTATCGGCCATAGAAGGACGTAATCGGGAGACTATAAACTACACAAACCGGGCCTGGCTTCCTTATAAGGAACACTGGGCCAATTACATCATTAAGAATACACTAATTATTGGTTGCTACACAACCAATAGGGTGGAGATCAAAAATAGACATCTGAAGGCCGGACTAACTCCCCGGTCGTCATTAGTCGACGTGTTCTCCAAGATTCTGCAAAGAGTCAGATCTTTGGAGGACAGCTTTTGTAATAAGCGAACTAGGGACCTTATGCGAGGTTACTTTGCATCCAACGATCAACGTTGGCTACAAAGTTTACTCATACAGATGACTGATTACGCTCGAAATGTGCTAATCAGGCATCTCCATTCACAAATGATTTCACAAATAGTGTGCAGGTCACATAGGTGGTATGTCACTAACGATAATGGACGAACATACAATGTAATCATTTCTGGTGAGGAACACTGCACCTGTTCATTTAGTCGGCAGTGGTTGTTACCCTGTGTACACTTAGTAAAAGTGCCAAGGGCAACAAACATGGAAATGCATGATATAGATGTCAGTCGATGGGTATATAGGTCTGTAGACAAATTGGAAAAAGTCCAGCAAGGGGATTTGAAGCGACGGTTGAAGGTCCGGTAAACACGTCTCAAACCCTTGTTTACACTGCTGCTGATAAGTTAAAACTCAGTGAGGATCTAGAGAAAGATATTGCGGTTGCATTATCTTTCCTAGGAGATGAAAAATTCAGGAAGATGTACAATAGGTTAAAGGAAATACCGCGGATAATCGGCAATTGGCCAGATACTGAACTGTATGCTCGTAGGCTGGGTAGTTCTAATCTGATCACCGTAAATAGTGATACAGATTTTGCTGCTTGCAAGCGCAGCGAACAGAGGCAAATTGTTCATAGCTCAGTTACTGCAGCCAATGCCTTCTGCCAAGATAGGAACAAACGTGATGTTTGTGATTCATCTACTTCGTACAACACAGCGGCCTGCAGTTCCATTGTATCTAAAAGGAAACCCCTTTTGGAAGTTAGAACCACGGATGAGGACGACTTAGTTTACATAGGGGACCCTTTGAGGACGGTTGACTTCAAGAGAATGACGACCACGACAGCTCGGCGGTACAAGTTGCAGTGGAAAAGAGGACGA